CAGGGATGCTCTGCTGGACCCCCTGCTCTCCGGCAGGGCCTGCCACTGCTCCGTGCACCGAGGGTTGGCCTGTGCCTCCCTGTGCCGGCATCCCCAGGAGCACCCAGACCACCGGGGTGGGCACTGGGAGGGCTGGCGGGGTCTGGCACGGTGGCCAGTGCTCCGTGTCTGCCCAGCCTGGGCTGTCCGGGACCCCTCTGGCTCCTGGAGAGACAGGGCTCGTCGTCCTCTGCCATCTCCCCGCCTCATTTCGTGGCCCCGAGAGCTGGCGAGTGCATCGCTTCCACGTCGAGCTTGTCGTTGCTATGACAATGATCGCATCGTGCCAACGGCGCGGTGAGGTGGCGCGCTGCGGAGGAGCCAACACCTAATGCATCCGAACTGGCGTACGGGTGGCAGTCAACACCTTGCTGCCCGCGCGTGGGCGGCTGTGTTGTCCTTTGGGCTCCAGCATCCCTTTGGGTCTGGGAGTGTTTGATGGAACTGCTGTTGAACCCGCCGCACGCGTGGAGGCTCCGTCGCGGACGTGCAGGGCACAGGCAGATCGGGGCTGCCTGGGGGGAGCCCGGGGTTGCAATGCGCAGAGCTCACGGCAGCCGCGAGGCCTCCGCGGCTCCCCGGCGCTCCTTGGCTGTGTGAAGTGCGCAGGGCAGCCTGGCACCGCGCGCGGCAGCTGGCGGTTCCCTTTGCAAGGGCAGGGTTTGCGGGAGGTCGGCTCCTCTTCTGGCCGAGGAAGATGGGGGTCACTGCTGCTCATCTCCGCACAAACCGCCCTGGAAATTGCTGCTGGAAGGGCCCCTCACTAACCGCCGGGCCTACGTTCTGCTTTAACTGCACTGTCAGAAGGGAGGTGAGACTAACCCTAGCCAAGACTGATGGAAAAGAAACATCCCCTCAGAAAGAGCAAAAGAGAGACTCCATAACACCATAAGGTTGGAACAGCAGCTCGAAAAGTGGTACCAGGTTTAGGGTTGCTGCTGTGCTTGCTAATGACGATGAAATGGATTCGAGCAGTGAAGAACCAGTCTGCAGATGACAGCTATTTACATTAACTCCATACCAGAAACAGCTTTGAGGCCCTTCAGGGCGATCTAAAGAGTTTTGAGGAAAAAAAGAAAGATGATGGTGAATAAAAAGTAATGAAAATAAATGCAAAATAGCTACTAGAGGGGAAAAAGACCTGAACTGCTCGAGCACCTGGTAGAGTTTTTAATTAACAGTTTAACTCAGGATATGTTGCAGGATGTTTTCTAAATAGCTCAGTGGAGACCTGTGTTCAGCATGCAGCATCAATACAAAACTCAGTGATATTAGGTTGCCAAAAGAGCGTGATGGATGGTAGCATGGAGAACAGCCTAATACCTTAGTCCAAATCAGTGATGACGTCGCAGAGTGCAGCACAGTGGCCTGGGCAACACAGGCCAGCAAGAATGGTGCAAACTAAAGGATTTCAGAAGGCAGTGAGATTTAGAAGAACAGGATTGTTACCTTAGAAACAAGATGAATAGGAGGAAATATGTTAAAAATACTGGAAATACTGAAAGGCTGAGAAGAGGGAAGTAGGGAACCTCTGCTGGTTTCATGGCACAAGAAGAAAGGAACATGCAATGAAATTAATGGCAGGCAAAGTCAGAACCACTGAGAAACAACTCTTTTTCTCCAATCTGCAATTATCTCTGGCATTTGTTGTGTCAAGAACTTGAAAAACCCAGCAACATGTGTGGCTGTGAAGCGTCAGGGGGTTGGCATGAGTAGAACAGTGTTTGGGTGGTGGTTGTAGCCGGTGGGTTTTGGGAGGTGTTCCCGGAGCTGGTGGCCGCGCGGGTGCGGGACGGACGCCCGGAGAGGTGCCCGTGTGGAGCGGGGCCGGAGCAGGACCGGCCTGGGCCGTGCGCGCCGGGTCGGGCCGCTCTGGGGAGCAGAAGGGGCTGCTCCTGGGGCACAAACCTCCTCGGCACCTGCCTGGCACTGGAGCAG